GTTCTACTTCTTATTTTTTGAGGAATTGCCGTCCTGTTTTCCATAGTGGTATATGTATACAAAGGAACATTATTTCAACCATGAGAAGCATGAAAATTCCTCAATTGGTGACAACATGGATGGACTTTGAAGGCATTAGTCTAAGTGAAATAGCCAGACAGAAGGAGACAAATACTGCATGGTCTCACTTATATATGGCATCTAAACTTTTTTAAAGTCAAACTCCTAGAAACAGAGTAAAAAGTGGTTGCCAGGAGCTGGAGTGTTGGGTAAATAGAGTAAAAGGTAAAAACTTTCAGCTATAAGATGAATAAGGTCTGAGGATCTAATGTACAACATAGGGACTATAGTTGATAACACTGTATTCTATCATTGAAATCTGCTAACAGAGTAGAGCTTAGCTGTTTTCACAGAAAAAAGAAGAAAATAAAGATGAAGAAGAAAATAAAGACATGAAGAAGAAGAGAAAGATAAAGAAGAAGAAAATAAAGACATGAAGAAGAAAAGAAGAAGAAGAAGAAGAAGAAGGAGAAAATAAAGACAAGAAGAAGAAGAAGAAAATTAAGACATGGGGGTAATATATACATCTAACAAATCACCATGATATACACTTCACTTGTCTTACAGTTTTATGTCAGTCATACCTAAATAAAACTGAATTAAAAAAAAAAAGGCTACTTGGATAGAATTATTCTTCTAAAACAAGAAGATAAACCAAGAAGAGACACGGGATCCAGGAAAGAAGAGATCCCACCCAAGAAAGAGCCGAGGGAATCCCCAGGATGATAGGAAGAGAAGTCCCAGAACAAAAGCTCAAGCAGCCCTCAAGAGCAGAGGAAGCAGGAGGCTGCAGAGCTCCAGGAAATAGATCTCCAAGGAAATAAAAAATGAAACTGACAGATTCCATGATGTATTTGACAAGTAGAATTTTAGAGTTCTGTTAGTTGGGAAATGTATTTGCAAGAGGTACACAAAAGCAAACCGAGAAATTGAAATAGGGCAATAATTACTCTAAGACAAAACAAAACTCTATATATAGGGAAGTAAAAGTAGTCCTGGTACACCACATTGCTGAATTAGGAACAGTAGTTACATGGTCATAATAGTGCAAATGGTAAATAGCAACTGAACTAAAAGTTGTTGTTTGGATAAAAGGAAAGAAAGAAGATGTGTGAGTGAGCTGCCGTTACTTTTCATGGCTGGAAGCTAATTGGTAATGCCTAAAATTGAAATATCAAGAAACATAAGTATGAGAACAATCCTTAAAAATAAGAATTCTTAAAAATAGAAGCAACAGCTGTAAGAGGTGACGGGGGTTTACCTCTAAGGAACAGAAATTAATGAGAAGCAAGGTGGGGAAAGGGATTGCTGGTTTTCACCCTAAATCTTTTTGTACTCCAACTTCTTAAATCCTGTACCTTGAAAATAATCAGTTCCATGTTAATTATACTTTGGAAGGTGACCTGAAACTAAAATTTCCAGAAAGGGTCAAATGTGCCGTAGCTGTAATACTCTAGACAATACAAACTAAATACTCCCTTTAAAGACTTAATTATACTGGTATCGTACTTATAATTATAGACCAAAGTTTGAATTTGTTTGGCTGCCTAGAGCACCAGGGTCACCCGATAAATAGTAAATTTGGCTTTCATTTTGTTTCTTGGTGCCCTATCCTTTGGAGTACGTTTGCTATGTCAATTAAATCCCTCTAGGGCATTATTTTTCTCTTGCCAACCACGATGTGATTTTGGCTTTAAATGTAGGAAGATCAGCTACTTGATCATATGGTGGTGGCCTTGAGGTTCAGGTACTTGAAGCAGTTAGTTGAGTGAGCAAGCTAAGGATGGGACAAAGTTGTTAAGATTGTAAGACTAATGAAGTTACACTTTCTATTTCCATCTTTACTGTTAACTAATATCCGCTCCAATTCAGATGCCACTGCTCCTACTGTATCTCCCATTTCCAAGACATTTTTAGGAGAAGAGTAATGAAGGGCATAAGAGCTTAGCTCCTGAGATCAACTTAATAGAAAAAGAGCAAGAAATCAGGTCTCATTTTTAAGAAAATCTTCAATTTTCTAAAAGAGGCCTCGTTCATCCCTAGTTCTTTGTAACATGGGCAGGTAATGTCTTGGTCCCATTCTTTGTTGTGTGGTTTGGGATTTTTTTCACTGGTATCTAATAATGCACAGGCTTGCTGGGTGCTTCTAGTTCTACACAGGTCTTGCTTTCAAAGCATCTGAGTTCACATCTATATGACGCCTTCTGTGAAAATTGTTTAATTAAAGTACCCATCTGTGCTGTGAGAGCATTGGAGGTTCCCTGGGCCTCACTATATAAGAAACTACAATAAGAAACCCATGTGTTTTGGGCGCCTGGGTGGCTCAGTCGGTTGGGCGACTGCCTTCGGCTCGGGTCGTGATCCTGGAGTCCCGGGATCGAGTCCCGAGTCCGGCTCCCTGCTCGGCGGGGAGTCTGCTTCTCCCTCTGACCCTCCTCCCTCTCATGCTCTCTGTCTCTCATTCTCTCTCTCTCTCAAATAAATAAATAAAATCTTAAAAAAAAAAGTTTTAAGATGCAAAGTTAACATACAAAGTATAGAAAATTAGGGAAATTATGGAGATAACAATATCCTAGGATTTGAATACCTGAAAAGGGAATAAACTGGAATTGTAACAGTGGCTCTCACTGATCTTAAACAAATCATTTCATTCGATTGCCATCCGCTAGTTCCCCTCTTTAAAAGTGGTTATAATAGGGGCGCCTGGGTGGCTCAGTTGGTTAAGCGACTGCCTTTGGCTCAGGTCATGATCCTGGAGTCCCTGGATCGAGTCCCGCATCGGGCTCCCTGCTCGGCGGGGAGTCTGCTTCTCCCTCTGCCCCTCCTCCCTCTCGTGCTCTCTGTCTCTCATTCTCTCTGTCTCAAATAAATAAATAAATAAATAAATAAATAAATAAATAAATAGAAACCCGTGTGTTTTCATTGATTACTCTAGGTCATTCTATAAACTGCGTTTAAACATTATTTGCAAAAACTAACATTTCAAGATGATGTGATAATTGTTTTACTCTCTTTAGGATGCCAAGATGCTCAGCATAAGTTTTCACAGATTGTAGGATAAATCAACAATGGGCCATGTAAGCAAAGGTCCAGGCAAGGAACCCTGCTTCAATTATTTAAACCTTCCTTAATAATATTTTTTTTAAATACCCTCAGGTCTTACTATATATTTTCCTAGTTTTTTATATCACTTCTTGAACATTTTACTGAAGTGTAATATGCATACAGAATAGAGCACATACCCAAAGAGAACTGAGCACTCCTGTGTAACCAGCACCCAGATAAAGAAACAGAACATGACCAGTACCCTCTATGTATCCTTTCTCAATCACTGTCCCCCAAGGGTAACCACTGTGCTGTCTTCAAACAGCATAAATAAAATGGAATCACACAGCATGTCCTCTTTTGTGTCTCGTCTCTTTCACTCAACGTGATTCATATAAAGTTCATCCATCACTGAGCATAGTTCTAGTGTGCTATTACTGTGGACTATTCCACTATGTTAATGTACCACACCTTTCCTATTTGTTCTTCTGTTGGTAGGTTTTTGAGCATTTCCAGCTTCAGTTTATTAAGAGCACTACAGTTTTGAACATGATACTCCATATCTTTTGATGAATATATATAAACACGTCTATTGAGTATGTATGTAGGAATGTGTAGCAGTATCATAGGGTATGTATATATATTCAGCTTTAATAGATACTGCCAAACAGTTTCCCAAAGTTGTTGGGTCAACTTTTAACTCTTTTTGTTCAGGGCGTTTTTATTTAATGATATTCTCAAGAAAAGGCCTATTATTAGATCACTGTTTTTTTCATTGTAAGTTTCAAAATCATGAATGACCCGTTTAAATGAATCTGCCACATAAAGTAGAATGCTTTGATTTATTAATTATAGTAAAAAAATTTTCTCTCGGGATATTGGAGTAAACACTTGGTCATTAGAAATGTTTGCAGACTTATTACAAAGGAAAAAAATTCACTAGCATCTATATAGAAAGTAAGTTCGGGCAATCTCTCAGATGGACAGTTTGGAGGGAAGCTTTTCCAGCAATAGCCATCAGGTAGTAAGCAAAGGACAACAGAGGGATTCTAAGACCAAGAACCAGGCAGTCTGAGATAATGTCTCAACTCTACCAACCTTGTGTAAACCCCTTAATTTATCTGAGCCTTTATTTTTCTCTTCTACAAAATAAGAGTCTGAATCCACCCTTCCAGTGTAAGGACTACGTGAAGATACATTATATTATATATGTCAGTTGTAATTATATAAAGTAGAGAGAGTTTATGTTTTATATCAAAAAGCCCTAACATATTCTTAGACCATGACATTAAATTTTTAACTTTCCAATTATACTCCTAGAGAGTACATTTTCCCTGTCTTGTTTTAGCCCTGCTTTTTGTTATCACTGTCCCCATTTTTAGCATTAGTGGTATTACACAGTCCAATGTCAGGGAATTACACTAATTCACGTTCGTTAATGACCCTTTCGTTAGTTTACTAGCTGGTTTACTGTTAGTTTACTAGTTGCATTGTGGGTTGTCAGTAGTCCTTTGCCACTATCTTATCAAATAGTGACTACAGATGTGCAGTGGGTTCCCGGAATGCATGCTCTTGCTCAGATAGTTTACCTCGGATAATGTCCTCTCTTTTCCTAGCCAATTCACAGATTGCTTTATGTTATACTTTTTGCTACTTTTATTGTCCGGTGTGAGTTGTTTTGAAAACCAATTCCACTGATGTGGCAGAATGTGCTTAACAGCAGGCTGAAAATGCCAAAGTCGCCTTCTTCACCCTCTGGGCACTGAATCGGGGCCAAGGACAACAAGGAAAAGATTCTTAATATATATTAACTTAATAATCTCCCTTTTCATTTTATCCTATTTTCTCCTCTCTTTTGTTTTTCTTTTTTATGTCCCCACATATGCCACCTGCAGTGCGTTTGGCGTAGTTACGCAGCTGATGAGAAATCCGTTTCCATTGCAACCTGGAAGCCACACTTGAAGGCCTTGCACACCTGCAGCCCTACCAAGTAGGTATCACTGTGACAGCTGGTGCCACCCGTCAAGCCTCCTCACGGTCCCAACACAAACCACACATGCACACACACCCCTGCAGCCCTCCCAAGTAGGCATCACTGTGACAGCTGGTGCTCCCGTCAAGCCTCCTCACGGTCCCGAAGCAAACCACACACACACACACACACACACACACAAACACACCTGCAGCCCTCCCAAGTAGGCATCACTGTGACAGCTGGTGCTCCCGTCAAGCCCCCTCACGGTCCCAACACAAACCACACATGCACACACACCCCTGCAGCCCTCCCAAGTAGGCATCACTGTGACAGCTGGTGCTCCCGTCAAGCCCCCTCACGGTCCCAACACAAACCACACATGCACACACACCCCTGCAGCCCTCCCAAGTAGGCATCACTGTGACAGCTGGTGCTCCCGTCAAGCCTCCTCACGGTCCCGAAGCAAACCACACACACACACACACACACACACACACACACACACACCCCTGCAGCCCTCCCAAGTAGGCATCACTGTGACAGCTGGTGCTCCCGTCAAGCCTCCTCACGGTCCCGAAGCAAACCACACACACACACACACACACCACATGCACACACACACCTGCAGCCCTCCCAAGTAGGCATCACTGTGACAGCTGGTGCTCCCGTCAAGCCTCCTCACGGTCCCAACACAAACCACACATGCACACACACCCCTGCAGCCCTCCCAAGTAGGCATCACTGTGACAGCTGGTGCTCCCGTCAAGCCTCCTCACGGTCCCGAAGCAAACCACACACACACACACACACACACACACACACCCTTGCAGCCCTACCAAGTAGGCATCACTGTGACAGCTGGTGCTCCCGTCAAGCCTCCTCACGGTCCCGAAGCAAACCACACACACACACACCACACATGCACACACACACCTGCAGCCCTCCCAAGTAGGCATCACTGTGACAGCTGGTGCTCCCGTCAAGCCCCCTCACGGTCCCAGCGCAAACCACACACACACACACACACACACACACACACACACAGGTGTTGGTATTTGGCTTGTCTTATTCTCTGTTGCCCTTCGAGAGATTCAAACCTGTTCAGTAGCAACTCAGGCACAAAACTAAATGGACTCAGTATCGTTCCTCACCATTCACAGACTAAGCTTAAAGATTAAAGGAATTCAAATCTCTTGCATAGAGATTTATTGCTACTATTTCATGCTTATTTTCTAATAAATCATTTCATAAAGCCCACTGAAATTCTAAAAGTAACCACCATGGTTCTTGAAAAACAATGATGGTTTAAACTCCGTCCATCACCTGACCCCAAGCAGGGAGCACTTTGAGAGCAATGTATCTTTGCATAAAGTCCCTCAAAGTCATTTCTCATCTGGATCGTCTTAAAGGATGGTCCTGGAGCTTTCACTTGCTGATCAAGCTAGTGTCAGTAGCAAAAGAAGAGCTGGAGTCCTAATAGGATTACTGCATACAGTGAAGCAATGGGACCAATCAGATTAAAATTTGAAATTAGCATTCAAAATTGGAAAGTAATATGGCTTCTATCCACATTTCATTGGCCCAAACAAATCACCTGGCCAGGCCTCAACTCAAAGGGGATGGGAAAGTGCAGTCCTCCCATGTGCCTGGAAAGAGAAGAGAACCAGAACATGAACAGCCCTGATGGTTACCACAATGATCTTTAATTAAAAAAAAATCCTTAGTCCTGGAGTCTTGGACTCCAGTTCAACTATCCGAATATACTTAATCAAAATCACCATCTTCATTAAAGAAGTCCTCGTTGAAACAACCAAAGCACATAAGCCAAGGGAAAGGCTTTCTGTGTGTCACCCAGCTTGATTGCAATAGTCAGTTCCTCAGGTTGTTCAAAAGTTACCAAAATGCTTATTTACTTAGTACTTTGGAGCACCTGCTGTTCCCCTTCGTAGTCCAACAAAACCTTAATCCCAGTGGCTTCACGGGATTCAAGGCATCCAAGTACTGTGATTCAATCAGAGAAACCTCTTTCTTCCTTGCTGTGGAAGAGCAATCAGCTGGGGAACCCTTCATGACTTACTGCCTGGAATTTCAGTCTCAGAGGAGGTTTGTGCTGCTTCAGAACACACGCTGTTAGGAAGCCGTACGTCTGTAACTAACTGTCAGGGTCTGTTATGTTGCTTCCCTGATCCTCCCCGGGCTCCATCCACAAAGTGAAGGACGAGAGGTGAGCAAGATAACTTCTCAGCTCTGATAAGACATGTCTCCTAAAAGCTGGGATCAAAACCTGTGATAGAGATATTCCTAGAACCCCAGGTCTTCAGAAGGGATGGAACCTTAGCAAGGAAAGAAGCACGGATGCGCTGTCGAATGAATGCATGCATGAGAAGTCTCTTTCCATGTAAATCTTAAAATTGAGTTGACTTTGCTTTATTGAGGACGAGACTCTTTCAAAGTTGTGGTGATAAAAACGAAACATCTATTCCTTAGAGGTATTAAGTCAGAAATGGGAATTGTATAGAAATTGCGTTTCTTGTACTCCGGAAGGTTTCTAGGTATAAATGTAAGAGGAAGACTAGTAGAAGAAACAAAAGAAGGTTCTCAAGTGACAGAAGAGAGTGATCTATTATCATGTGTTAATTTGGCTTTCCACTTCCCGAAGTTTTTGGATTAAAGTCATTCTGAAGCCTGGAAAAAATTTTTGAATAATAAGTCAAATTCTCCCAGTGCATAAACTATGATTTTACATAATTTCTCTTTCTTCCTCTGAAATTTTCCATTTTAAATGGGGGGAGGGGAGGGAAGGGAGAGGAGAATTTATGCAAACACCTATATCCATGCTGTTCCACTCTGGTTGTCCTTTCCCTGTACCCCTCATTTACCTCTGAGTCTCGGCCCCATTTACTGAATAACAGGTACTTGTCCTGAATGACACAGCCGTCCCTGGCAAAGTTCAGGGAACCTGAATATCCTAACATCTCTCCCTCCAGCGACATGTTATTGTTCCAAATTGTGTGGTTCTTAATCTTTATTATTGTTGTTATTTTTGTTAAACCATGGAGAACATGATAATAATTATGGACTCTTTCCCACCAAAAAAAAAAATTCAATGCAAAAAAAAATCAGAATTTTGCCTACAATTTTAGTGTATTCACAGACTCCCTGAAGCCAAGTTCAGAACCTTTGCTTTAGAAAGCAAACCTGCTTTAATCAAGTTTGTAGATCTGTGAAGAGAATAATTTACAATGACTGAGGGGGATATTTTTTCATTTATAATTAACTGGCTTACTGAGTGCAGAGTGATGTAATAAGAAACAGACCGAAACTTCTTTTTATTTATATAGTGTATTTCCTGTAACATTCAGAGTTTAAGAACGTCTGAAGAGATGATTCATTCATTCATTTGTGCATTCGTTAAATAACTATTCATTCAGCACCTATTATTTTGCAATTTCCAGGCATTAGAAGTGTAGTAGTGAAAGAAAAAAAAAACAAATAGTTTAGAATCTCAGGCTTTGGGGAATGTATATTCAAGAGACATTGGGAAGAGAAAATAAATGAATAAATAAAATATGTAACAGAGTAGTGCTAAGGAGAACAGTATAAAGTAGGGAAGGAATTTGTGGGACATTAGGGATTACAATTTTAAAGAGGTGGTCAGGGAAGAGATCATATTATCAATAGCATCATCATCAATGATATCGCTGTCATTAAAAAACATGAACTCATGCTCTTGTTCCCAGGAATTTTAGAGATACAGTGAGATGCTTTGACTCCTCAACCTCATTCCAGGGAGTAGGATGGAAGAGAGGTGTGACAGGTGTGCAGGGGAGACAGGGTAGGGTGAGAGGGCAAGCCATACCCGCTCAGTCCTGCCGGGCATATATCCCACAGTTTCTGACTCCTTTCTGGTCTGGCTGGTCTCACATAGGCTTTCGAGGTCTTAGCAGTTGCTATTTCAAAGTTTTGTTTTAATAACAGAAGGATTTACAGAGGGAACATATTTTTCTTGATTTTCTTCTCAGAGAAAATGAAGGCTGGGCAAAGTGTATGACACAGGTAAATGTGCTCTTTTAGGGAGTGAGTCTGATATTTTATGAAGCTGTGGGGAATTGTCAAGCTCCAAGAATGCCGTGTGATAATGTAAAAAGTCAGAATGTAGACATTCTCTAATCCAGTGCCTTCAATTTTTTCATAAGAAAATCAAGACCTACAAGAAAGTGAGGTGCTTGCCCAAGGACACACAGTCATTTGTAAAGAGTAGGGACCCCACACCATGTTGCACAGACCTGAATTCGCTAAAATGGGTTGTTAAAAATACCATCCAACACTAGTCCAGGACGGTTGTGATCAATTTCCCATGCACCTAATTTACTTCAAGAGAATTCGTACTGTATACAGTATGAAAACAAAATCTTTCTCAACAAGTGATTGAAGCTACAGTGTAACCAGCACCATTCTAAGAGTCCTTGTTGATGCCAGTTAGATCAGAACTACTTTCTTAACCATGGATAACTTTAGCTAACGTGGAGTCTACAGTTTTAGGTTACATGTGGGCACTGTTGGTCTTGCTAAGTAAACATGCCAGTTCAGGTCGTGCCACAAAGAATATATGTTGAAAAGTTGGGTACAGTTCTTACAAGGAATACTGCTTCTGTGGATCTTACTTAAAAAGAATTACTTAGGGTACTTTATTCCCCATCCTCCATTATCAAGTGCTATAAATGTATTCACCAGTTTGTCATCATTTCTCTTCTGCCTGCACGCACCTGAAGGAAAGAACAAGGGGAAACATCCAGCAGGTTTGTGATTTCTCTTCTGCTCCATGTTTGTTTATAAATCTGATACCTAACCGATATTTGAAATGTATCTCATGTGAGTAAAATTGATCAAGAAATACAAGATGATTAAAAGTGACCTTTCACAAGATTGCCTGCAAAGGTTGCTGCTTCATTGATTTTTTTCCCCCTTGGAAGCATCAGTGTCTCCCTAACTCACTGCTTTTTATAATCGGCAGGGCATGGAACATCCTTGGGGAAAAATAATAATTATGGCCTTTGGTTATTCCTTGGTACCATTTTCTCAGATGGAAGTCTTACCGAAGTATTCAAATTCTGGGAAGCAATGTAAGATATATTCCCCTTCATCAGGGTCCTTTTAGAGTAAGAAAATGGTTTTTTTGGGCAAAAGGAACACTGTGTACAGAAGGTAAAAACAATCCCTCTGTGACATCTCCAGCTCATTAAGCATTGGTTTACTTGAGTAACATGATTCAGAAGAAGAGCCTCCCCCCGCCACCACCGCCCCATTCTTCAGGAAGAAGAAACTTCACCAAATAATTTATGGCCATTCTTTTATGCCTTTCAAGGAAATGCTTTATCAGATTAAAGAGCAGAGAGTTAGACCTAGGAGGAATGGGAGGTGAAAGAGAACATTTTATTCTGTGTTAGTGAGTGCCAGAAAGAGTCTGGATTTGGGAGCAAAGCCCCGAAGGACAGAGCCAGGTGGATCTCAACACCGTTGGAGTGAGGAGTAGAGAGGCAGAACCAGCAGGAGAATCCCAGGTGCCTGGAAGGGAAGAAGAAAAATTGTTGTCCTAGCATTGCTACTTGTTTCAGTAATGAAGAAACAACAGGCATTCCACCTGCAGAGTTGGCCCCTGGGTGGGGACCAATGGGAGCCCAGGGATTGTTCCTTAAGTTCTGTACTGTCATACTAATGACACTAATTATAATATACTTATATAGTACTGAAACTAGTTTTGAAAGTTCACTTGGGATGATGAGGTTCTGGGTCATCCGTTTCTGCATTATATCAACACTTAAAAAGATTCACGAGCCAGAACACAAATGCATCCATGATGAGAGATAGATGTGGCAGGATGCACAACACTCCTTTGAGGAAGGTAAGCCTACACAGGGATGGCATTAAAGACTCTTCTCTTACTTGGTAGTCAAAGAGTTAGGGCCAAGGTCATTAGATATTCCTGGGTGATATTTCCAGAAAGTTTTAGTAGCCTGAAGATTTGGTCTTCTCTACTTTAGAGATATTTCTGCCCAAAGAGAGGTTCTGGTGATTAGACTCAGAACATTCTTGGCATAGACTCTAGAACAGGCAGTCTCACCAATTCTGACCATTTAGTCCTCTTTTGTCTAGACTCCCAGCAAACCCCACCGTCCTTCTGTTGTGGCAATTTTACTTGAAAAGAGTTACACAAAATAAATCATAGCCATTATAAGCCATTTAGTCTATTTGGTGATATTTGAAAAGCTCTCCTTGTTTCAGGAGCTATCCATTTACAAATTATGTCAAAGGGTAATCTGTCTCCAAACCCTAAAGGCAGAGACTATCTTTGGCACAAACTCCATAGGTCACCTGTCTTGGTTTCATCCTCCAAACCAGACCTATTGACACCTAGAGGGGAAGTCTGTGAATCATGTGGAGGTGCTCACAAAAGTGTGACGTGGTATGGCAGTCCTGAGTAAGGGCTCACACGATATTGCACTTTTTCCAAATGTTACCAAGGCAGGAAGCAAAGACAAAATTAAAGTGTAACTATGGAGCTTTTTTATTCTTCACTCCAGAAATGAACCTCCCAATCAGCTGTCACGATTCAAAAAGACTACCGACCAATTTTTTTTTAATTTCATGATGTTCACATATACCTAAAATATCAAAATTTATTCTACATGCTTGTGAAGAAGGGTGTCAAAAATGACTCACCTGTAGTTTTGAACATATACAGAAACACCGAGGTATGTTACACACAGATTTCTTACTTCTCTATGGTCACTGGACATTTGGCAAAACCACCATGAAACATGTCCTATATTACCATTTATTTAGTATACATGCCTTACTTGATGTTTCATACTTCATACACTTAGGTCTTCTGTCCCCCGATTATGTATCGCATCACCCTGTGCAAAGTTATGACAGAGAATGTGCTCAATAAACAATTCTTAGAGTAATAAAATGTCCCTGACCTCCAGTAGTTCATGTAGAAAGAGAAAACACCAACAAAAATGGGAAAGAGGAAATATACAAAGAGAGAGACAATGAAAAAGTAAAAACATTTCAATAATCTGAAGGAAACAAGCTGAAGCTCCCATTTTAAAACATCACTTTAGCTTTCACTTTGTTGTGTTCCATGGGCAATGGAATTTATAATACTGCAGAATGAATGCAAAAAGACTATTGTATTAACAATAGCAACAGTACCATCTTAAGAAAAACAAATTTGCCCTTACTCAAGCAAAATGTGCACAAAGGAAAATGCATTTATAATGCGTATGGTTTCTTAGAAGAGAGCAGATTTGGCTCCAGACTATTGCTGAATAATCCTTGACCCAATTTCAAATGGATTGATTAACACCAGCCAAATGCAAAGCCCTTTACTGTGTTTGGGGCCATTGGGTTACTGATGGTGATTCAGATAAGCAGAAGAGAGAAACTTCAGCCAACTCTGTGATCTTCCAGGTATCTCAGAGCCTGAAGTCTCCTAAATCTTTCCTCCTGGTTTTTCATTGTGTTAAGAACTAGGAGTAATTCAAGCATGGCTGGGTTTAGTACAGTAGCCAGTAACTCTCTCTTGGTGCATCTGACCCGGTCTCCCTCTGAATGACCGGGCCAGACACGGAGAGGCTTTGCTCGCTGCAGAATGTAGTGAAACATCACACACATTCGTATACCCCCATAGCTAATGAGGTTCCCTGCTTTGGAATATTCTGGTTAGAGAGATTTTTGTCTTTCTACACTGAGGTTAGGGTATGTTTAAACAAATTTGGGCTAGGGAAAGACATCCAGTTCTGTGATGCTTTTGCATTGTTTGCAACAGGTCCAAAATTTTTCTTTAAATATACAAACCATCAGTCTCAAGAGGCTCTCAACCGAGCAACAGTTGAAATAGTGTCTCTTTGAGACATTAAAATAATGTCTTTGGTACGGGGTCAGGTACAAATTACTATTAGTCTCAATTGAGCCTGCTCTGTTTTTCCTCTACTTAGACCACAAATGCAACTTCTTTAGCACCATTTAAAGATTCATTTGTTTTCCTCTGTCTTCCCATTAAAACAGTTCTAATCCCATATGTGGTGAATATGTTTATTGATTTTATTATAATTAATCATCCCATTAAGTAATTTTTCTAACTCATTTTTTTAAACTGGATAGTTTTTCTCTGTTTTGGTACTAATTGTCACTTTCAGAAAATAGAATTTACCTATAAACCCATCTAACCAAATTAAGCCAGGATTCTCACCTTGAGATTTTATGTCCTCCTCCCTTCCTCCTTGATAAGGGGGTCAGTTGACCATCTGGTACACCCTGCCACAAAAAGGCTCTTCTTCCTATTAGGTTTTTATTGCTACTAGAATAGGTCATGCCAACGGAAGTTTGGGAATTATCTATAAATCTTGCTACTTCTGCCTACCCTGTCTCCTTAATCAACAATTGTTGGCTATGTGCGTGCTTCATAGTTAAGCTGCCTTGATCACAGTCTATAGGCTTTAAATAGAGCCCTGTCAGACTTCTTATTAGACTATCTAAAGTTGCTTTAACAGGTTCTTGTGAGACTGTTACAAAGATGCATGTCTTCAAAGTTAAAGCAAAATGATATTCTTTTATTACGTTATCATCTTCTGCTGTGATCCACTGAGTGCTTTGTCCAAATTGCTCCTACGTGGTTGGCTTTATTAGGTTCTGAGATGTGTGTTTCTTAGGAGAGAATGCTAGAAAAAGACTGTGCATTCTTGTATTTCTTGGGCGTTTGTTTTCCATTGTTTACATTTTCTTTCTTCTGTGTGCAATGAATGATCTGCATGTGTTGTTAAACTAAGTAAGGCTAGACTTTTTTTCCCCCCTAGCATAATCAACTTGTGTCCTTATGGGCAAAATGTTAGATTGTTTCAAAAACAATCTTTTGAAAATGGTTTCTCCTTCTGTTCGCATTTATTAATAGAGGGAAAGGATTTAGTCTTTTAAAAACATATCAAAAGACTTACAACAAGAAACTCTTTTTTTAACAAGCTAGTGACCTAGAATCTTTTCTTCTGACTTTTTGGAGCATGTATCCTGACAATTATTGATATTAACTATAACTGCAGGTATTGTATACAAATCAAGAACCTTTTTTAATATTTCAAAGCAATTAATGTTATCAACTTCATTGATTCCTATAAATATTTAAGGTTCTGAAATATTTTGTTCCTCGTTTATACTGTGTTGCATTGCTGTTTATTACAAGGGTTGCTGTATTTTAAAATATTTATGTTCTTATTTTCATATGAATCCGATGCTAACACACAGGCTACCATCATTTGTAATGCGTGTTTCACATCCAGTCGTTTCAACCTCACCATTAAGAGCACTGATTATATTCCAAGCAGCACAATTAAACTACGCAGTCAGTACTTACTGCTTAAATAGTATGTATATTATATCTGAAAAACAATAAAGCCAAATGGCTTTGTTGTTCTAAAAAGAAAAAGAAATCCCTAAGCACTTTCGTGGTGGTGAAATGCTTAGTAATGTGCTGCTCTATTTCCCTCACTCCTAGTAAGTTCTGTAGTAATAAGCAGAAGCTCTTCAGAACGTGCACCTCACGGAAGCAGAGGTACCCAGCATCCCGGCTATGACATGAAACTTGAGAATGCCAACTAACCTCAGGTGCATGACCAGGTTCCACCGCCATCCTACCTGAGCCCTGCTCAGAGACTCACTCTTCCTAAGGACTTCTTGAATGAGGTTTTCAACCCGCTTGTAATTTTCCTTGTTGCCTGTTGCCTGCTTTGATACTCTACGCCAGGGCCAAATCCGCAGGGTCTCGCACAGCCCTGGCGCCTCCTTGTGGTGGGACAGCTGCTGAGCTGCTGCACGCACTGGATTGTTCACGGCTCAGTCGCCGTACTGTGCCCGAGGCGAGAATTTGTAGAATGCTTATCCTCTGAAGGGCTAAAACCCTAATTAAGTATAACAAGGACTACAGCATTCTAAGTCCAAGAGGATTACTGTGGGGTTACAATAATGCCACACAGTTCCCTGGCAGGGGACATCCAGTAGTAGCCTGCATGCTGGGCCATTTGAGTTATTTGTACATCTGGTTCCTAGAGGGGGAAGAATTCCCTACACGGTTCCCCATAGTTGTGCAGGCGCCCCCTCCTAGAGTCCCCAGCTGATGGATGCCACAATCAATGACCACAATGTCCTTTGGCTTATTTTCTCCAGAGAAAGACCTTCTTATTGGTCTCCTAGGAATAATCTTTGACAATCTTCCTAAAAACACTGTTACATAGATCTTCCTCAGAAGTCACATTTATAGGGGCTCCTGGCTGGCGGAACATGTGACTCAATCTCAGGGTCATGGGTTCAAGCCCCACGTTGGGCATGGAACCTACTTTAAAAAAAAGCGTGTTTATAGATGTGACCAGAAAGTAGGAAAATAACGAAAACTTGAATGGACCAGTGAAGAGTCTATATTTTTAATCAATGTGCGTTTTCAGTAATCAGCCATCTAATCAGTTTAATAGTCATCTAATCAAGATGCTCTGTTGATTTCCAAAGGGGAAAAGAAGTAGAAAAACTAATAGAAGTGAGCTTTTTTTAAGAACAGGTCTTTGCTTTGGAGAACAAAATTTTGTCTGGTTAAAAAGTTCTGGCTTAAGATTTTATTCTTAAATTTCATACAATTATGTCAAAAGAGAAACTGAAAACGTTAATCTTTTTTTTTCTAATTTCATATGTAATATGTTGGACTCGCTTTAAAATGATTTTGGTAATTCTTTTAATATTAGACATTGGCAAATATTCATGCAGTTAAGAAGGACAAAAAGCGGGGCACCTGGGCGGCTTAGTTGGTTAAGCGTCTGCCTTCGGCTCAGGTCATGATCCCGGAGTCCTGGGATCAAGCCCCGCATCAGGCTCCCTGCTCATGGGAAGCCTGCTTCTCCCTCTTCCACTCCCCCTGCTTGTGTTCCCTCTCTCGCTGTCTCTCTCTCTCTCTCTCTCTCTCTCTCTCTCTCTGTGTTAAATAAATAAATAAAATCTTTAAAAAAAAAAGAAGGACAAAAAGGGACATGGTACCTAGAACTCATTTATATCAACTTTAAGTGCTTTAAATAGTACTAAGATTCAGAGAAAAATATTATTTCCACTTTCCATGAAAGAGATGCTATCAAAATGTTTCATAGAGGCAACTTTTTAAAAATATTTTCACAGGAGCAATTGTTTTTAAATATTTCATTATTGTAAATTAGCCATGGAGGGTTTGATGCTGATACTTATTTCAGATTTTTTTTACTTTTTCAGTAATTGAAATTCTTAAAAGGGAAAAACTAAATTTTATATTAAGTGGTTTTATGATGTTTTCATCAGTTTCTTCTTCATTTAGTCGGTATAAGAAAGAGATATATCTTTAAAGTTTGAGAAAATAATTTGATATTAACGAAACTCAACCTTCTGCAGTAATTAGCATCTATGAGTTCCAGAAAAGGTAATAACTAGATAAAGTACAGTGAGAACATTTGCAGTGATCGCTATGTAAATTTAAGCCATTCGTTCATCTAAATAAAGGTGCAGAGTTGAGCATATGTTCCTGAACCCGATCATCACAAATTTAAATGATGGAACAGATGTGCTAAAACTGAAAAGACATGTGAAATTTTTACTATTTAAAAAAAAACAACAACAAAGTTTGAGAAGAGTAGACATTTTGGGTCCTATCCCTTTGAGGATCTGTTTAAATGATTTGAAGGTTTGGGATGACATGGAGAACCTAGCCTCAGCATAAACAGATGCAGTTTTATATGTTATCGTTGCTGTTGTTTGATGTGATCTACCATTTAATCATGCATTTGTCAAGTGCAGAGAAAGCCTTTGACTGACGGGATTGTTTTAAAGAACCCTTGAACCCACCTGACCCCATCACAAAACTGCCAGCCTGTTCTTTGCATGTGCCTTCAGCTAGTCATGCTGAACTTAGCTCCATCTGCATTTCAGAGGGGAGCAGTCAGTTGCATGGTCGACTTGTTTATTGTTACCAGGACTTTCTGATCACCATAGTTCATTATTTGATTTGTTTTCATGTAAACACATAAAATGTGGTGTCTTTTTAGAATATCATTTGTTAAGCAACTAGGCATGGAAAAATAAATGTTACTGTTTCTTGTTAGCTACAAAACACATAACCACTAAACACATTTGCTGTTGGCATGCTGCAGCTGGGGACAGTGGACATTGCGGTAAGTGGAAAAAACAAGGGCTCCACTTCGTCTCGGATAATCCGTGTCCATGAGAACACTGCCTCCTTCATGCCCCAGAAAGGCTGCAGCATGACTGCGGGTCTGAGCCTCTCAGAGTAGCTGCTCCAACTTACTGCCCTCAGACCCTTCACCCTTCATTTCGGCAGACCCTGAAGAGTCCTGGGGCTCTCGCTGGCTACCAGTGTCATTTCCTGAGGAATAACACAGCACTTTATAAATGAAACAAGAACACAAACAAAATGGGGACAGAGCACCTCCTACAGTTCACTTGGTTCCCACAAAAATCCCTTAGCTATGTTGCTATTTTCGTCTTTATGTTCGAGATGAGGACTCCAAACCCCAAGTCTCTTTGATTCCAACCTGCCCTTCCCACCACATCACACCACATCTTTTGATTAGGAAAGCATGGAGATACACTTCGGGTTTTGTTGTTGTTGCTGATGCTTCCTTTATCAACCCACAGCATTTCAGTCCTCGCTGGCATCTGAGAACTGAATGTCTAAACAAATATAATTTACCAGTAGCTGCCACAGCAAATCAATAACCTGTTTGATAGCAGGAAATTGTGTTAGTGAACATACCATCTCATTCCGTTAATCAGTCATCACATTCATTATATGCTGGGGCTGTTCTACATTGTGTGGTTTTTGTCTCACAAGAATGAATGCAAGCATAAAAAAAATGGGTGTTAAATGTTGTATGTTTAGTATTATGTATGCAGTACTACCAACTGCTATGAGATTGCATGAATTTATGGATATCATAATCTTTGCCTGGAATATGAAATGCATGCAGAATGTAGATATATATGTATATGTAACTGTCATCCCTGTAGAAATGCTTAGAAATTACAAAGAGATATGCTCCCAAATAAAAAAAAATTACTTTCTTTAAATCTCAAAAGTTGAGGTGAAAGCTAAAATCTATTTCTAAAGCAAACACCGAACCAGTTCTTGGTTATTTCCAGTGTAATTGTGTACAAACTACCATACCCAACGTCAGTCCTTTCTGTGATGAATCCAGGAAGGGTGTGCCTACCTGTACAGTGAGGTTGAGTTCAAACGAATGCAAACAGATTAAATAAAGCTCCAGTTTTCAATAAGGGAAGAATACATTGCTATGCTCCTACTTGCTGAAAACGTTTGTCTGTTGAAATATAATATACAGTTTCATCTCAGTATTGACCCAAGTGGAGTGGAAGAAATTGCTTGAAATGGAATAATCATGCCTCTGTTGTCCACAGTCAGAAGCTAAGTTTTAAGGAACGAGTACGCATGGCTAGCCCCAGGGGCCAGAGTATTAAGAGCAGACAAGCCTCAGTAGGTGACAGGAGGTCCCCGAGCACCGACATCACCGCCGAGGGCAGCCCCACCAAAGTACAGAAGAGCTGGAGCTTCAACGACCGAACCCGCTTCCGGCCCTCGCTGCGCCTCAAAAGTTCTCAGCCAAAACCAGTGATAGACGGTAAGCCCTGTTTTTCCATAACTGTGTTTAATTGGATAGGCAATCGTGAGCAAGATTATGAAGTAATTAATTCTCCATGGTACCACTTGAAGATAGAAGAAAACAACCCCAAGGAAGGAATTGTTTGTTTGTTTTATTGGAAATTTATTCATTGCCTTGGGCAAATGTACAGAACATAAGTTTACTTTTGGGAGCAACTTTGGCAGCTAAATCTACATTTCAGAGAAGTCAAACAAAATGTTACTTCTTCGCTTTTTATCTACAACACATTATTATTTCTCAGGCAAAGTCCCTATCAAGATCAACGTGACTGTCCTTCTCACGTATAGGTTATGTCTGACCAGCAAAGGTCCATGGCCCAAAGATGATCAGGTGCTCTGTGAATGTCTTGAAACGCAGTAAGAAGGGTGACAATACTTTTCTGGACAACAATGAAGGTGCTATTCCCTTTTCTACTATGCTCTATCCACCAGTAAATCAGAGACCACCGCTTATCTTCCTTAGCGAGATTCCTGTTGAAGTTCTGATCTAATGATAAGTAGAATTCAAGTTCTTCTCCCAAGAGGAGCTAACCTACTTTATCATACAATGTGTCAGAAGTTTACTTGCCAACACCTTTTATTGAGTGCCCCATAATTTTCATGTTTATAAAACAGTTTCTTTTTCATTTAAGATTAGCTTGGTTTTCTTTTTAAGTATGCCCCCCCTGGGATCTCTTCTACTGGGCAGAGAACCAAAGTCAAATAGCATCTTCCATGAATGCATAAAAACTGCAAAGGCTATCGGCCCTTCTGTTCTCATTCCCTAGTATAACCTGTATTTTCCCAGGCTATGAAATCATGAGGGATAAAATTAACAACCAGGGGTCATAATCTCCGTGACCTCAGGCTCCCTGCAGTGAAGTCCCTGGAACCTCAGCCCACGGTTCCTCCCAGCTCATTCAGAGATCACCAGGGATATTACTCCCACTCTTCAGTGAGCAACGTGAGTCCCCTCTTCACACCTCTTCATGCTCCACAACTTCGTGGATGCCGTGCTCTCCAAGTAGACGCCTAGCTGCTGACCCGATGCGGCCCCTCCCGGTGGAGCTTGCAGCTCCTGTCTCGGTGGTGGGACGTGCTGATCCTGCCAAGCTTCCCTCCACCTGTCACTCTGCTAAAGGAGGAAATGCCCCCTCCACCAGCACTGGATGCTCCCGCATCGAGCCTCTGAGTGTCCTGAGTCACTGCCCAGATTTTCAGTGTCCTCTGGTTTCTACACTCTCCTCCCTAGGAATTTGGCTGAAAGCCCTTGAACAGCTGAGTCAAGAGTTACCCGTGACAGGGCTTTATGTTGCGCTCAAAATAGACTTTCTGAATATAAATGGATGCATCATTTCTGGAAGGCAATTTGGCAACATATATCAAAAGCCAGGACATATGCCTAAGCTTGGACACATCCCACCCACCAATTCCGTTTCTAGGATATAATCAATATAATGAAATAATATCAGACATTAGAAACAGTGACCCAAATAAAAAATTACTGACATGAAAAGATGATCATAAAAAACACATTATTCCCTTTTGCTGTGTGTGTCTGTGTGTGTGTGTGTGTGTGTGTAAATTCATGTACTTATCGGAAAAAATCTGGAAATATTTATAGCAATGTATGAACAATTACCTCCAAGTGATGAGGTCATAGTTACACTTTCTTTCTTCATTTTACTTGTCTGTATTTCCTATTATTTCTACAATGAACATGTAAAGCTTTCGCAAAAGAAAACAAAGGATGATTTTCTGTTAAAAAATTGGACCTTCTTTTCACACAATACCCTCTCCCCTTCCCCGATTCTAGGGGCCCTTGGTCTAACACCCCTCTCCTTAGGCTGATTCCCCCCACACACACCCCTCTGCCAAGAGGTAGAAGGGCCACCTTGTCTCAGTGCTGGGGACCAGCCTCTATTGAGTGTAGACATGGATTGTCTAATGAAGTTCAATGTACTGCAAATAGAGCCATATTAGGCTCTAGGGTTGCCATAACAAAGGAGCACAGCCAGGGTAGCGTAAACAACACAGATTTATTTTCTCACAGTTCTGGAGGCTAGAAGTCCAAGAATCTCCTTGGCTTAATGGTTACCTTCTCCCTGTGTCTTCACTTCATCTTCCCTCCATGCACAGCTGTGTCCAGATTTCTTCTTTTTTTTAAAGATTTTATCTATTTATTTATTTATTTGAGAGAGAGAGTGAGAGTGTGCACAAGCCTGGGAAGAGACAGAGCGAGGGAAAAACAGAGTCCCCGCTGAGCAGGGAGCCAGACACGGGACTTGATCCCAGGACCCTGGGATCATGACCTGAGCAGAAGGCAGACGCTTAACTGACTGAGCCACCCACGTGCCCCAGATTGCTTCTTCTTATAAGGACAGCAGTGATATTGGATTACAGCACACCCTAATGAGCTCATTTTAACTTAATGTATCTTTAAAGACCCCATCTCCAAATAGAGTCACATTCCGAGGTACTCGGGGTTAGGACTTCAACATATGAATTTTGGTGGGACACAATTCGGCCCATAACAGAGCTCCTGCTCACACACATCATACCATCCCTGGGCAAGCCAGGGTGTGCCCATATCTTCAGACCTAACCCTGGATTCACACTGTGCTAGAAATGTACACATGACCCGCGGTGGGTCCATACTCTTCCAACAGGGCCTTCAAAAAATATTCGACTTTGTGCTGTGAGGTCCTTATGGCTGGCTGAGCACATCTAAATAAAAAAATCAATAGGATCTGAATTTTGAATATGGAAAATGAATTCTACCTGTATGTTTGGCCAGAGGGAGAGCATTTTTCAAAGACTTCTAGCGTCGGCACTATCCATCACAGTATTTCAGTTACTGCAAAGACGTCTCGGAGGTCAGACAGAAACAGAAATCCTATTCTTTAACACATAACAGGTTGGAAAGGTCTCCTGCCATCCATTTTCTACCCCATTTCATCAAGTTCTGTTTGGTTCAAAAGGAATTGCTTTTCCCTGGTTGATGCCCATCTCAATTGGTTCTGAGTTCCTCGAGTGACAGGAGGCCTGCTTGCTGTTCTGCGGAGGTGGCTCCGTCGGCTGCCCACCTGCAGAAGATCATGACTCCTGACTCCTCATTTTATCCAATAGTCCAGATTCTTTACCTCTGATTTAACTCAACGATGGGCTTGGGGAAATGGAAGTTTCTTTTTATAGGGAAAAAAACAACTGAAATAGCTATCAGATAAATGTAGACTTCAATTATACATTTTTATTTATACTGCCTCTCCCGGTTTTAAGTATGTCTAAAAACCACTTACTACCCATAGAAAATAATATATAACCCCACAGCCAGCTCCCAATTATTCCAGATCTATTTGCTCATTCACTTCTGGGGCTCTTTTCTTCTACTTCTCTCTTTTCTGTAGATAATTTTAGGCATTTCATTGCCCATGAACAGCTCAAAGAGAGTGGATGAATAGCAGAAAGAATAATGAAAAGTCTAATTGGCCTTTAAGTTAATAACTAAGTTACATTTGGAAAATAATGGGCCTGTAACTAAAAGATACTATCATAGAAAAACAAAGGAAATTTAGGCTTAATCCATAGGCTTTAATAATCCCTGCCAAATCTGATACACTTTACTACAGACGGTATTATTTTTATAATTTAATGACTCTTACAAAAGCCATTAAATATCGCATGTTGGGCTTTTTTGCTATAATTTTTTGTGAAATTCACATCTGTAACACTTAAAAGGGGCATAATTGTCTTCCAATATTCTACATTTGTGTATATGGAGAAGTGGAAAGTAATAGGCAGATGTTGAAGCCAGAAATGAACAAACAGCAAAAGGAAGAAAGTAAACTATAAGGAACTGCCGTGGTATTGGCGTAGCAAATTTCTTTTGACTGATACGGTATGAATTGTATTTTTAGTTTATAAATCCAATAATAAGAGAGAGAAGTTTTCCATTGGTCAACCAATAGTATTTAAGCTTCTTCATATAATTTTTTAAAGTAGGTAGGATATGACTTTTTCAGATTCCACATATAAGTGCAATCATGCCGTTTTTTCTTTCTGTGTCTGGCTTATTTCTCTTAGCATAATGTCCTCCAGGTTTATCCATTTTGTTGCAAATGGGATGTTGCTCTTTTTTAAGGATGAATAATATTCCATTATATAATTATACCACAATTTCATTTCACTGTGTATATGTATATCAAGTCATCATGTTGTACACTTTAAACATATGCAATTTTTTTTTTTTTTTAGATTTTATTTATTTATTTGAGAGAGAGAGTGAGCACAAGTGGGGGAAGGGGCAGAGGGAGAAGCAGGCTCCCGCCCTGATCAGGGAGCCCGATGCAGGGCTTGATCCCAAGACCCCAGGATCATGACCTAAGCCGAAAGCAGACACTTAACTGACTGAGTCACCCAGGTGCCCTGCAATTTTTATTTTTAAAATAAAATTTTTAAAAATTAGGTAGGATGGAAGTGATATTTTTCTCTCAACATATAAAAAAAATAATGATAAAAGTAACATTTACTGGATCCTTCTCTGTGGCAGGCAATTCTCTTATTTCATTCAATTTTTCCAGTACCCCTGTGAAGTAGGTTCATTATTATCCCCATTTTATGGATGAGGAAACTGAGACTTGAAGCTGAATAACTTACCCAAGACTAACAGATATAAGTAAGGAAGCCACAGAACACACCCAGGCAACCTAATTTCACAGCCTTGCCTTCACACACATTCATAGCAGTGCTCCCTAATGTCATATCAGTCCCCCTTTAGGCCTCTTCCATTTCTTCTTTTTCCCTGCCATCCTCCCCCCACCCACTTTCACTCTTCCATGTTCAGTTGGTCAGATCTCCTTCCCATAGAAACCATTTGACCTTGCCATTATCCCATCCTGTCTTTCTCCCAGCCCCGCGGCCAAACCTCTGAACTATATCATCTTCAAAGACTACCAGAGGTGGAAGATTAGGCAAATTGAG